AAGAAAAGTATAAAGTTGCTTTCTGTTGTTTTAGGAAAGATGGCATTAAATATACTGTTAAAGTGTATTCCCTAATCATGATGCTCCATAACCATATGTTACTAACAAAACAAAGATCTGAAGTGTTATTACTGGAAAAATGCTAACAACTTAAAAATTAAGAGTATATTTTGAGGGATAGTTTGTGGACTTTTAAAAATCTAACAATTACATGATATCGCGTAGTGTGAACAACTCCAGACAGGTTTTATTAGCTGTTAAGGAAGTTGAGCCCTAGCTGGTTTTGCTCATGGATAGAGCATCAGCCTGCAGACCAGAGGGTTCTGGGTTCAATTCTGGTCAAGGGCACATACCTTGGTTGCAGGCTCCTTTTTGGCCCAGGCCCTGGTCAGGGCGCATGCAGGAGGCAACCAATCGATGTTTCTCTCAGATCGATGTTTCTCTCTGTCTTTCCCTCTCCCTTCCACTTCCTCTAAAAATCAATGGAAAAACATCCTTGTGTGAGGATTTAAAAAAAGGAAGCTGAGTGAAGTATGGCTTCCCTTAAACAGCAGAGGATTTAGGCAGGGAGAGTAAAATTATTCAAGTTGAAATTTGACCAGGATGTGAGGATATTAGCACACCTTGCTCTTGATATACCGAGTAATCTTTAATAAATACAAATGTCTGAAGGGTTCAGATTTTATTTATTTTCCAGAAAAGTACTTCCTTTTGTTTGATGGAGAAATAACATTATAAAACTACAACAACAAAACATGTGTAGAGTCTGCAGGCCTTTTGGAAAGTTCTCTCCCTTAATTTCACACAAAATCCTCACATATCTCTTTCCTTTCCTTCTCCCAAATTCTCACCTTCCTCCTCCTCCTCCCACACCACATATCTCATTGGCATATATTATGCAAAAATATATGGTCAAGGATTTAGCCCACATTCTGGTTTCCCCCCCGCTAAATTGCTGTAATATCAAAGTCACTGGTTGCCCGACCTACCTTCAGCACTGGCCATGTCTTAACAGTCATTAATATGGCATCACATTGACTTTCCGATTTTCCTTCTTTCCCTCTGGTATTTTAGAGCAAGCACAAAGTGAGACAATGTTGTTCCCACATTCAGAACATATTAGAATACATACATCTGTTTTAATGTATGTACAGGTAAGTGTAAGTAAGTGATAACCTCTTGACAGTTAATTTAAAAGAAGAGAAAACAATAAAAATTTAAGAGGCAAATAATATTGGAAATTATCAATTTTTAGAAGTCACAATTTGGCCAACAAGGTCAATAGGAAGAGCCAAATATAGACTGATATCTATCTATCTATCTATCATCTATCTACCTATGTATGCTGGCCTTTATATTGGCCCCTCTTCTTTTTCTCTGCTCTGAACTCTTTATATAGAGATGTTGCCTTTTGTCTGGCTCTTTCTGAAAAAGAACCTTTAGGGAGTGTACTGATGCTTAGGGAGGGAATATCCCAGTACGTGATAAGTGGGGAATTTACAAAGAATCTAGATCATTCTGAGCCATGGTAGACTGAATTCTGGAGTCCTTAATGTCAAAGAAAATTTCCAGTATTTAGGGAAACTAAATACAGTATTTCATTTATCAGTATAAGCAATGACTAGAGAAAACTTTGTCAAGAAGAAATGCATGTCTTTTTCTCAAGAAGATTCTTTTAAAAAATTTATCTTTATTGTTGGAAGTATTATAGATGTCCTCCTTTTGCTTCCTTTTAAGGAGCAACTTGGTTCAAGGGACTGTAATGTTATGAGTTCTGGTCTTGTCCAGGTTACTAATAGTGACTGTATGTTAGGGTTACTCACTTTACCCAAATTTGAAAGGACACATGAAAATATAAAGTAAACAAAGGAGGAGGAGATGTGCTAGAGGATATTCCCATTATAATGTTTTTTATGTGATAGAATTACTGTTTTAATGATCAGTAAAATAAAGATAGCTAACATTTATTTAGCACTTGCCATATTTTAGGCATTGCAACATTTGCTTTAAAAGCATTCATTGTTTTGTTTTGTTTTCAACACTCTATGAGGTAGTTTGGCATCTATTTAGTAAGTCAAATAGTTTATTCTAAAATGACTGACAAGTCTATAGATGAGGCTTAATCAAAATCATCTCAAACTTACTTGTATTGGTCTTTTATTTTGTATTTTTTTCTACTTTTAGTATATTTAATTTTTGCACTTTGGTACAAAAATTTTAACACTAAGGAAATGGCAGAAACTTAACTACATTAGAAGAATTTTTGTGTCCCCAGTTAGGAGGAGTCTCTAAAAAAAAATAAAAAATATTGCCTGGCTGCTGTGGCTCTGTGGTTGAGCATCTACCTATGAACCAGGAGGTCATAGTTAGATTCCTGGTCAGGACACATGCCCAGGCTGAGGATTGATCTCTAAGCAGGGGTGTGTAGGAAGCAGCTAATCAATAATTATTTCTCATCATTGATGTTTCTCTCTCTCTCTCTCTCTCTCTCTCTCTCTCTCTCTCTCTCTCTCTCTCTCTCTCTCTCTCTCTCTCTCTCTCTCTCTCTCTCTCTCTCTCTCTCTCTCTCTCTCTCTCTCTCCCTCTCCCTCCCTCTCTGAAATCAATACAAATATATTTAAAAAATAAAATATATGTCAGAACTCATATTCTAATCTTAAGCATTTTTATTAAAAAGTATTATTTGGCTCATAATAATTATTACTAAGGTCTTCATTAAGCACAACAGTATACTGGTAATACTACAGGCTCCTGTAGCTGCCTTTCATATACTGGTATTTCATACAATTAATGTCACTGGTTTTGCTAGTGTTCAGTTTTTAACAAGCTACATTGTAGACACTTAAAAATGTATGGTAAATGAACAATTTATCTTTGCTGCAGTTTGAGTGTTGTTCATTCTCTAGTAGTTATGGATGCTTGAGCAAGTAACTTGATTTTCAAGGACCTCAATTTCCTCAAATGTATATAGTAAGGATCTTAGACAAGATTATCTTTGTAGTATTTATTTACATATATATATTTATTTATTTGTCCATTATTTCAAATCCTTTACTTCATTGTGTGATGACCACTTCTTTTAAGACAATTCCAAGACTTTTTTCCTATATAAGTTCATTCTACAACATTCATTCCCTTAGTATTCTAACAAATTCTATTTTAAAAAACTATTTTGTACTTATAGTTAATACATGTGTTTCCTTGACTTAAGACAAGGATGATGCTTTTAATTTTACCATGAAGCTTAAATGCACGTGAAAGATGCATGTTGAAATAGTGTTGAAGATGCCAACAAATAAAAATTTAAAGGAGGTTTTCAAGAAATCTGAACTCACCCAAATTATAAATTTACCTGTTATTCCATGATATTAGGTACATAATAGATTTAAAAATGTTTCTTGAAAAAACTATACAAATGTGAGGGGAAACAGGCAAACTTACCATGAAATTAATAAGAGTAAGCATTAGGGTTCCTAACGTCCATGGGCTCCGTTCTGGGCTTTGGGAGAGGCCCTATTAGTTCATTCACATATTCATAAGTTCTTGTAAAATTTCAAAACTGAAATATTTAACCTAATTGGTTAAGACCTTTGTCTCTCTTCACTTAGAC